GGCCCAGGGCGGCCGCCTGGGGCCCTGGGGGCGGCCCTGACCTCCCTCCTCCCCGTCGGGGCTGGGTCACCGGCGCGCCCCCCGCGGCGGCACGAGGCCCCCTCGGTGTGTCCGCCCCGCCGGGCCGCACTGCTGCCTGGGCGCGGCGGCGGCGGCGCCCTGTTGGATGGGCTGTGAGGGTCCACGTTTGAAGCTCTGGCGAACGCGGCCTCCGGGGGCGCCAGGCGGCAGCAGCGGTGGCGACCAAACGGGTGTTGGAGTTGGCGGCGGCCATGGAGGGCCTGGCTGGCTATGTGTACAAGGCGGCCAGCGAGGGCAAGGTGCTGACCCTGGCCGCCTTGCTGCTCAACCGGTCCGAAAGCGATATCCGCTACCTGCTGGGCTATGTCAGCCAGCAGGGCGGGCAGCGCTCCACGCCCCTCATCATCGCGGCCCGCAATGGGCATGCCAAGGTGGTCCGCTTGCTGTTAGAACACTACCGAGTGCAGACTCAGCAGACTGGCACCGTCCGCTTCGACGGGTAGGTACAGCCCCACTCCAGCCTTCTCTCGAGGCGCGCGGAACCCCCTGGTTGTCGGTACTCACCGGGTGCCCCCTAGGTGTACCTCCTCCTGCCGCCACGGAGCCCACCGGGGCTCATCCTCCGTCCCGGGGTTTGCTGCCTCATCTCTGCACCCCTACCCTCTTCCCTCTTTGGATAGAGAGCCACACCCTCTAGCTGGGTAGCTGGGTGTCGTTCTCTCCTGGACAGTCTGTGAACCGTCGGTGTGGAGGGAGGGGCCTGCCTTTCCACGTTTTATCTTGATCAGTACGGAGGGGGGGAGCACGGGGGGCTGTAGCCAAGAGCAGCAATTAACACGAAAGACCTCTGGTCAATGGCTTGGCCACCCAGCGCGTCCTTTCTCCGTTCAAGTGAGTTGGATAAAGCCCCCAGCAGCTTGCCGGTTGGTTGCCTGCCAGTCCGACGCAGCCCCCAGAGCCCTCAGCAGCCCCAGTCCTTTGAGGGGTCGTTTCACTACCAACCACCCACCCCAAGCCAGGGTCTGACTCTTCCCTGGGGCTCCGGGGAGATCTGTTGGGCGCAAGAGTGGCGCTGGACCGGATATGGGAGATGAGGATACCAATGTCAAGTTACACGTGATAATGTGGGGAAGTTTGATCACTCACCGGTAGTGGAGGTGGGGAGTTAAAAATTCATGTGGCCACCGTTACAATGTGCCCCTTGGGTTTACTTTGGAGTATGATTGTGTTGAACACAAAACAGCCAGGTTTTGTAGTCTCCTCCTTGCTGTGCTAGAGTGCTGTAAACATGGCTTTCAGATGACAGCTTCAAAGAGCGTGTGCTAGATTGGGTGTACTTTGTTGACTAGCCCATAAGCTATTCTGTACTATCAGTTTCCGCCTTCCAAGTAGATGATGTCTGAGTGTAAATGGTTATGGACAGCTTTGGTCACTGAAAGCGATCTGATTAAAACCTGATTGAAAAAAGGAATCTTTATGTTCAGGTCACCATGGGCATTACATTTTAGGATTGATTCTTATTTAGCTTTAAATAAGAAGAGCTTTGTCTTGAGAGGGAAAATCTTTAGAGCATGACCCATTCCTGAAACGATCGCCCAGGGTGCTGGCTTTATCTCAGGGACCCCTTTGTACCAGAGATGGGCCCTGGTGCACGCTGCTCTCTTCTGGGGCCGGTTCCCTTGCCTGCACCCAGCGAGGAGTGGAGCTGAATGACCCCTGCACCTCCAGCTCTGCTCCAGCTGTTGGAGGCTCACGCACTCGTGTCCGTTGCAGCGGGACCACCCGCTCCCACTCTGAAGTCTAGGTACCAGCTAGCTGCTGGGGAGCTTGTTCAGACCTCTGTGGCCAAGGGGAGAGGAACTTTTCTCCAGAATTTGGAAAGGTGCTGCTTAGTGCCCTCTTCCTTGGCCATCAAAGAGAAAGCTCTTCAGGGACAGCATTGGAAGCACTTGAAATGATTCAGAAAGCCCCACGGAGCCTGTGAGCTGCTACATCGGCTGGTGAAATGATGGTAGGGTAGGCCAGCCTTTATCGAACACTTGTTGGATGCCAGGTTTTGTGGTAAGGATGGGGGCAGAGATGAATAACATACTGTTTCCACTGTGGACAAAGTTTAGTGGGGGAAGGGGTGGGGAGAAAAGATCTATAAATGAGTAATTGCAGGTGCCATGCCATTTGGGAATATCTGGAAGCCTGGCTGGGGTGGGGGTGGGGCACACAGGGGAGGAGGAAGTACACAGCTTTGGTGCAATCAGGGGAGATTTCAACTGAAGATGGTATTCAAGCTGAGTCCTGAAAGATCATAGGCCGTGATGAAAATCTGGCAGTAGCACACTACAGGTGCAGTGACAAGTGCTTCCAGTGTGGCTCCAGGAGTGGATTCCTGCCAGGCCAATTAAGAGATGGTGCCAGACTGGGAAGAAGAGGTAGAGGCCAGGTTTCCATGATCCCGAGGAAAAAATCCCCAGACTCCAATGCAAACGTCTCCATTATTTGCAATTTGTGGGAGCCTTTTTGAATCTGTTTAGTTTATGGATTATTATCAATATGGATTTATTTCAGCATATATTTTATGGAAGACTTGCCTTGGACCAAGATTCCCAACACAGTCTGTGGAAGATACAGGCAAATTGGAAAGTCTCTACTTTTGAGGAGCTGATAAGGGGAGAATTGATGTTCATGACCACCTTGCTGCGCACTCGCATCACCCTGTGAGATGATTTTGCTGTTTCTCCCAGTCATTTTGGCATTTCAGTACCAGGAAAACAGATTGTTCCTTGCAAATGTGGTGCGTGCACTTTGCATTCATTCCCAGCCTTGTGGAAATGTCAGGCCGAGTGAGTTGTTAGCAATAATTGCTTGTTCATCCTCGGGGGCTGACTTTTGGAAGCCAAGACTCTTTCCTCAGATTCCTTTGGCACATGAGCCCATGGCCAGGTGAGGAGGAACAAGTTCTCTGCGAAGTAGACGCTGTTTTTAGGTGCCGTCCAGATTTTGGTCCCCCATAGGCCATCTTTGAATTTTTCGTTTTGGTAGTTTACCCTCTATCCTTTTGTTTACTTGGTATTTTTCTCTAAATGATCTCTTCTTGGCTCCATTGTAAGCAACTGTACCTCTGTAATTATGGTTTGATGTGCCACGTTTGTGTGTGTATGTGCGCATGTGCGTATCCTGGCTCATGCACATACATGCAGCATAAAAGAGACATTAAATGCTACATTATAGCAATGATGAAAAATACAACTTTCCTCTAGTTCCTAAATGTTTCCTCCCCGCTTCCACTATCATGACACAAATTCTACCTTGCAAGTCTGGCTAGATAACAGACAGGAACTGGAAATCCAGGGAATCCAGGGCGGATGAGCCCTACAGGACCAG